ATGCTATGTCTCAGCTGACGTATTTCCTCCGCTGGTGAGCCCAGACTCTCTTCTTTGGCCACAGAGGGCTGTTGGTCATCACACAAGGCTGCTATTTCCATATTTAGCTCCTTCAGTTGTGTCTGAAGCAACTCCACTGCAGTTTTAGATTCTTCTTTCATTTGTATTTTCTCTTGCTCCTTTTCTTCTATCAGGCTCTTCAATGAAGAAAGTAAGGGCTCTAATTCCAACACTTGACTTTGTTTTTCTCGTAATTGTTCCATCAGATGTTCTTTTTCAGACCTCACCGCGACGAGGTCTAATTCTAAACCTTTCAGCGTTTCTGCCATCTCTTCTACTTTTTCTTTGAGAGTTTCCACTTCTGCTTTGGAATTCTCAGCATCAAGAATAACAAGCTCTTGGTTTTCTTCTGACACCTGCAACTCCCTTTCAAGACTCTCAACTTTATCCTTAAGCGCATCAGAATGACGCTCACTTTCTTTCAGTTTTTCTAAGACGTGGAGCTGCTTCTTCTCATCAGCCTCAATGCGGACCTTCAGTTTCTCGATGCCGTTTCTCAGCTGGCGCACCTCCTCTTGTGTGGAGCTCAGCCTCACTGCAATCTCACCTTTCTCCACTAGTGCCGCCTCCAAGGCCTGGGAGTGCGCCGCCTTTCCCTCTTCGGACTCGCTCAGTTTGTTCTGCAGGCTTTCTAAGTCCCTCACGAGCAAGTCTCTTTCTTTATTCAGTTGTCCAATTTGGTTTTCCAGCTCACCTTTCACCAAAGACAGTGCCTGTGAATCCTTTTGCAGATTCTGCAGCTGCTCCTGGAGATGAGCCTTCTCCTTCAACCGCCCGTTTGCATCGGAGGACAAAGTCTGAAGGAGCTCTCTTTTCTCCTTCACTTCCGCCTCCACAACTTGAATGTGACGTAGACACTCGTCATGATGACACTCGAGCTGTTGCAGTTTTTCCTTCATCCTTTCAGACATCTGACTCAGCTCTTTGTTTTCTCTCGACATAGTACCTAATTCTCCACGAAGCTGGTTTCTCTCAGTTGTGACCTCAGCGAGTTGTTCTTCAAGACAGGTTATAACTTTCTGTTTACTTTCATTGTCTTTTTCTAAATACAGCTTCTCTGTCTGAACTGTCTCTAAGTTAGCTTCCATGGACAGGATGTGGTGCTCCATGCTAGCATTCTCAGATTTGATTCTCTCCAGCTCATTTTCTACCTTGAGAAATTTCTCTTTCCAGCTGTCATTCACCATGGCTACGTCATCTTCCGTAACTTCATCTGGCAATTTATCTGTTGTTTCTAAATTAGAATTGAGGTCTTCCAAAGTCTTTACTTTCCGGTATACCTCCGGGTTATCAGAGGAGAAGAATCTCAATTTTTCACTTAAATCTGATATTTCTTCCTTAAGTTCCTCAACTGTTTTTTCCAATTCTATGCATGCTTCAGTCTTGGTGGTTAGTCGTACTTTCTGCAGACCGACTTCTGAGTCTAACTCTTTTACTTCATTTAGCAAAGTTTCCAGTTTTCTCTCACGTTCCACTATGACATGAAGTAATCTCAAATTCTCATTTGATGTCTCTTTCACCTGCACTTGGAGATTCTGAATGGTTACCTGAGTCTCCAGGAAATCCATAGGTACCAAAGCATGAGGATCAGAAAAAGACAATTCAGAAACGCACTCTGACCAGCCCTGAGCTTCATCTCCCAGTGGAGTCTCAGAACCGGTGTCCGAGGACGGCATCCCAAACTGTTGCCCTGTCTGACTGACCGCATCAGTCTCTGCTATTTTCTCAATCTCTAGGCTGAGGTCCTGCTGAACATCTTCACAAATCTGACGAATGTCATGTTTCGGTGTTCTTCCTTTAGCTTTTGGGGTATACTCTTCTGATTCTTTTATGTTACAGCTCTCATTTCCACCCCGAATAGCCTGTAATTGTAATATGATAACAGGAAAGCATTTATTTGTTTAAAGCAGAAAGAAAATAGAATAAATAGGAGGCTTAATTATTACTTTAGAGAAATGGGCTTCTTGCCTCAGCTAAACACATTCTCTTAATGACTGAAGTCAAATGGTATAATTTCTACCACATTCCACCACACTGTCCTCTCTCCATTCAACTATCTATCACAATTAAACAAACATTCAGCAGGTGCTTTCAACAGGCAAGGCATTTATCATGGGTAAGGTATTTATTATGAAGACAAGCTGTTTATTTTCTCATCTAAATTGCAACTAATTAAAATTTCATTATTTTTTTCTTGCTAGGAATATTCTAGGTAGCCCAAATGTAAAATTTCTCTATAGTTATCCAATAAGGAACAAATAAGTTCCATCACAAAATGCTCCCCCTCCATCTTCAACGTTTATGGCATTCGTTAATAAGAAAAGACAGTGAGGCTTCATGACCAGATTCCCAGCCCAAGGACTTAACCACGGATCCAGCACTTGCTATCAACGTGTCCTGGAGGCTCCCTGTTCCTCGTCTGTAAAATGGGGATCTGGGCTGGCTACTATTACTGCCGCCACCTCCACCAGCTGCCCTCCAAGCCTTACAGAGATAGATGGAGAGAATCAAGCAAGACTCCTGTTATACTCTGCAACATTAGTATGTGGGCTAGTAGACTGAAAAGGTCAAAGCTAGAAGTAACTAAGCAACTACTTACTCAATAAAGAAATGTCTCTTAAAACAACGGATACCAAATCACATATTTGCATCACAGCCAATTGTAAGAAAATTATTTAGTAATATACAATATAGACTCTTCCACATTTACGTCATAACTGTAACTCTAACATTAAAAATAGTCTAATGGGGCACGACAGTCCAGGGACAAGGACTAGAAGGCAGGAGGGGACAGGAAAGCTGGTAATAGGGAAACCAAGGTCGAGAAGGGACAGTGTTGACATGTCGTGGGGTCGTTAACCGTTGTCATAAAATAATATGTACTAACTGTTTAATAAGACACTATCTGTTCTGTAAACCTTCATCTAAAGTACGATAATAATAAAAAAGAATATTTAAAAAAAAAAGTCTGAAAGGGCATGAGGTTAAATTTTACATCACATTATCATTCATAAGCTCTAATTCAATATTTAATTGTACTTTATTAATTCACAAAAAGTAAAAACACATATGCATTCTAAAGGGGACCTTCTGACTCTACAATGTAATTTTCTCCAGGAGACTTTAAAACCATCTTTAGTAATTTTCCACGTAATACTGTGGAGCCCCTGGGTGGTGCAAACAGTTAAGCACTTGGCTACTAATAGAAAGGTTGAAGGTTCTAGTCCACCCAAAGGCACCTCAGAAGAAAGGCCTGGCAATCTACTTCTGAAAAATCAGCGATTGCAAACCCTATGGAGCACGCTTCTACTCTGACACACATGGGGTTGCCATGAGTCGGAACTGGCTGGATGGTAATGCGTTTGGAGTCCTGGCTGGTGCAAATGGTTAAGTGCACGACTATTAGTGAAAGGTTGGCGGTTTGAACCCCCCCACAGGCACCTTGGAAAACAAGCCTGGCGATCTGCTTCCAAAAGGTGACACTCTTGAAAACCCTATGGAGCAGTCCAACTCTGCACAGATGGGGTTGTCATGAGTCGGAATCAATTAACAATAACAAATCAAATCACTGAACACCTCCCCAAATAAAGTTTATCATTTTCTTAAAGTTCTGATTCATTTTGAAAAAAATTCAGTATATTTCGTGTTTATATCCTTGAACCCTAAAAACGTTTTTAACTTAGAACGCAGATTTCGATTCGGCAAACATGTTCTGTAAATGCAAATTGTGCAAATGGAGGCAAAGAGCATGTAAACCCCACGTACTTACATCTTCTATGCCAGCGCCCAGCAGAGACCGTGAACTTAGGTCGAGACCTTGGAGCTGGAGCCGTGCAACTTCCAGCTCGAGCGACAGGTGTGCGGTCTGTTTCTTTTCTGCCGCCAGCTTGGACTCCATCTCCACAGTCACACTTGTCAGCTTCTGTTGCCACTGTTCGTTTTCCGACAAATGCTGCTTTCTAAGGCACTCAAGCTCTTCCCTTTCAGAGCTTAGTAACCGCTCAAGCTCTTGGATTTCCTTGTTTTTCATAATCCGCTGGCTTTCCATGTCCCCCCCCAGCTTCTTGAGAGACCGCAGGCACTTCTGACAGAGGGCCTCCGGCTCTTCAGTGCCCCTCACCGGGCGAGACGGAATTCCTCTCTCGGCCCGAGCCTCCTCCTCCAGACTGCTGCAGGACACTTCAGCCGCATCAGGCTGGTTCGCCGAAATATTCTCTTCCAGATTATTCAAGAGAGAGATTTCTCCTGTCTGTTCCAAGAGATCTTTGCAAAACGAGGATTCTCCAAAACTTTTAAGAATGGGGCTGTCGGTCACACAAGAGAAGGACAGTGACAGAATACTGCCCTCCTCGGGTCCCAGCGTCACCTCCTTCACCAGGTCATCTTGAAAGTTCCTCAGATTCATTGACAAGACCGAATTTTCCGCCTTTAAAGTGTCCACGTAGGACTGTAGAGCTGACATCTTTGAGCTCATCTGACAGCGCTGATCGTGTAAGATTTTGTGTTCACTTTGCAAAGATGAGAATTTCTCCTGTAACTCAGCAAAGTGCGTTTGAACTTCTTTGTTTGACAATGTCAAGTGCTCATAGACATTACTGTCATCCAAAGGACTCAGGGACCCATTCTGTTGTTCACCCAATTCACCTTCTGGCACTGGTTTCACTAACTCACCCGGGTGAAGACCATTTTCATCGTTTAATATTTTAACTTCGTTTACCAGTTTCTCCACCTCTCCTGCCAGTTTGCTTGTTGCTGTGATACATTCCAATCTGGAGTCGTTCAGCTCGGATGATAGTTGGTGCTTTTCAGCCTGCAGTATCTCACACGTTTTCTCTAGCTCGTTCAGCTTTGTCATTACTGCTTGCAGACAGCACTGCAGGCGCACGGTGTCACTCTGACTTGTCGACATCTCACGAGGCACTGAAAGATACTTTTCCTCTGCACCTACTTCACAGTCTTTAAGGCCAGCAATCTCCTGGGACTGAGTATCTTGTTGCAGATTCCCAGTTTCTAGCTCTCCTCTGATCCTGCGTAATTCTTGCTGCAGGTACGCCTTCTCCTTCTCTCTCTCCTCAAGTTTTAATTCCATATTTCTTACCACAGCTTCTAACTGTACTAACTGAGCATTATAAGTGTCTAGGGAAGTGTCTTCAACATCAAGCTCCATCTGACGTTCGGCGTTACATTTATTTATCTCACACTGTCTTTCTTTCACAGAGTCGCTAATTGGTCCCAATTCTAGATCCTGGTGCCCAGGCATAGACTTCGTTAACTCCATCAGGCGCTTGTTCTCTTCTAGTAAGGCATGAACCTCCTTTTGCCTTCTATTTTGGTCTTCCTTCAAAGCTGAGATTTCTTGCCTTAAACCATCAGCCTCGCCCTTGGCGTTGTCTTGGATGTCTGTAATCTCAGATCTCAGCTCACGCTGCACGGTCCCCACCTCTAGCACTAGGCTCTGGTTTCTTTCTTCGGCCGAGGCTAATTTTGTTAAAAGCGCTTGGTGTTCCCTTGCAAAGGTCTCCTTTAGCTGTTCCAACTCTTTTTTTCTATTTTCACAAAGACTAGTGCATTCATTTAGCAAGCATTCTAATCTAGAGTTCCTCTCTTGCACAGTTTCGTAGTTTTCCCTAAGACTCTCAAACGCATTTCCTGTTTCTTCACATCTTTGCAGTAAAATAAGTTTTTCTTGCTTGTATTGCTCAGATAACTCTGAGATGCTTTTCTCTCTTTCATCTAGGCAGCTGGAAAAACTCTCACTTTTCTGCAGTAAGTGCATTTTCTCTTGATTTAAGGTAGCATTCACTTCCTTGAGAATCCTGTTCTCTTGGGTCAGCGCTTCAATTTCTTGCTTACTTAGAGAAATGATGGAATTCATTTCCTTCTTCTCTGAGCTCAGAGTTTCAGACAAAAGTTGTAGCTCCTTCAGAGAGTCTTCAAGGAGACCGTTGCTCTTTTTTAATTCCTGATACTCTGCTTGCTGAGTTTCTAATTTTTCACTCAAAAGTTGCAGCTCTCTTTCCTTGTTCTCAAGGGCAACTAAAGTTTCAGCAACAACATTTTGATGAACAGAAGTGTCTTCCTGTAACTTATTAATGCGTTGATTAGTCTCGGCCACAAAACTGTGATGCATCTGTTCTGCTCTAATGAGATTTTCTTCTATTTCTCCTTTGATTTGCACCAACTCTTCACACTGCTTCTGCAGATCTGAGTTCACCTGCTTTTGAGACTCTAATGAAAACTCAAGTGAAATGACTCTGTTTTGTAAAACGGCTGAGTCTGGGGGACTTTGGTCGGCTGCTGACCGGCATTCGCTCCTTTCTAAAGGCATGCTTCCTTGTTCTCCGCTTATCTTTGCAAAGGAATTATTCCTTGCAGGCTGCTGTTCAGAAGCCAAAAGGCTTGTATGATGATCCTCTTTCATCTCGGGAGAAGAATCTTTAGATTTTAACAGATCTCTGAGGCTCTCGTATTCAGCATGCAAGTCTCGGTAATGTTGGTCTTTCTCCCTCACTTCATTCGACAGTAACTGGAGCTTGTGTTCTAGCTCGTCAACTTGCCCAGTAAGCTGAGACGCTTTTAAACACATATTTTCTATTTCCTTCTTGTGTTTCTGATCTGAGAGCTCGGCTTTCTGCTGTAGCTCTGTGTAAGCTCGCTTCTGGGCCTCGATCTCCACACTCCTGCTGTCGATCGTATTGTGAAGGTTTCTGATCTCAGCATTTAGATTTTCTCTTTCCATTTCCATTGTTTGCACCCTCTCGTTGTATTCCTGACTTTTGACTTGCTGAGTCTTGAGACAAGTTTCCAAGTGATGAATTTTACACTGCAACGTCTCCTTTTCTGCTTCCATCTGATTTACAAGTTGTTCTTTTTCACTTTTCCAACGAGTCAACAGGGTTTTCTCTTCCTTCAATTCTTCATATTCTTTCGCTTTTAACTCCAAAGCACTCAGTAAAGCCTGAGACTCTTTCTCTGTTCTGCTTAACTTTTCATTCAGTTGTTCAATGTGATGTTCCCTTTTCTTCAAAAGGTCTTGAGAACAATCTCGCTGCTTTTCCAGATCAGCCAAGGCAAGCTTCAGTTTCTCTAAAGTCAAGGCATTTTCTTGCTGGTTTATCTTTTCTTGAAGATCTCTTAACGCTGTTTCCTGAGAAGTATTCTTAACTATTAAAAAAACAGAAAAATCATAGATGCTTTTTAATAAGTATTTATTCTACAAGAATTCTAAACTATGTTCTAAAAGATGTTTGGTGAAAAAGTGGCATTGTTACCGGGTACCTTCCAGAAAGTAGATCGCCTGATAATTATCTAAGCTTATATACAGACAAGAGCCCTGGTGGCGTGGTGGTTAAGAGCTTGGCTGCTAACCAAAAGGTCAGCAGTTCAAATCTACCAGCCCCTCCTTGGAAACCCTACAGGGGCAGTTCTACTCTGTCCTGCAGGGTTGCTATGAGTCAGAATCGACTCGTTGGTAATGTGTTTGGCTTTTTATATATAGACAACAAGCAAAATGGTAATTTTAAGAATGGCAATACATTTATTAATCTTTTTATCCAAGCAGCTTGATAAACTATTGCATGAAGTACTAAAGATTAATTTTCCCCAAGTACTTGACACTTTCTTTACTATTTCTTCTTCTGTGGACTTGTCTATGTATGGTGTTTTCTGCCTTCTTTTGTAATATTTCTTCAAAGAGACAATAGAGACAATCACAGAACTGAAATGGAAATACCACACTTTGCTCAGGAGTAAGTTTGATGTCCCAGAAAAGTAAATAACGACTACACCACCATCTTAGCCAAAACTCCATACAGTTAGGAGTAAACGATGCTACCTATGTATCAGTAGCTCCTAAGGCCTGTATGTGAGTTCTGTTGAGGAATGATATCCATCCACCTCCCAGCCCCTCCCAGTATAGGTGGTACCTATGAATATGAGAATCGCACAGAAAGTTTTCCCAATCCCATTACCACCTTGTTTTAAGCCCAGTAACTCACCTCTACCTAGTTAAGAACAACTACAAATGATTTCACTAAAGAGCAATCGGGAGTGGGGGGTGGTAGTTCAGAGTCCTCAAATGTCTTGAGGGAGAACCTCAATAGGAGATGATCAAGGTAACATGTATTATAATCTCAGATGTTACGTTAAGTGGAAAACAATACATACTTTTAACTCACGAACCTCAATTTACCTACTGAGAATTGATGGCTGGGAGCCAGCTCCACAAGGGCCATAGAGTCACTCTGCCCGTGAGGACCTCAAACAAAGACAGTAGTAACCAATGCTGAAACATAAAACATCCCAATCTTTCCTTTTCTCACAATGTCCCACCAAGAAAGCTAAAAGTTGACATTTCTACCTGCTGCCATGGAAAAATTAAAATCTATCTCAGGGAAATTAGAATGAAAAAATAAACAAGCGGTCACAGAGAAGTGTAACACACACTCTACAGGTCAGAGTTAAAAGGAATGCCAGATACGCAAATACCCCACGTGAGAAGATTGAGCAAAAGACATATGTCACAAGTTAACACTGTGAAAATGCCAATACTACCCAAAACGATCTATAGATGTAATGCAGTCTCGATCCAAATCCCAACAACATTCTTCAATGAAATGGAAAAACTCATCTCCAACTTTGGACGGAAAGGAAAGAAGCCTCAGAGAGCTAAAGCATTATTGAAGAAAAACAAAGTAGGGGGTCTCACACTTCCATATCTCAGAGCCAGCTGTACAGCCACGGTAGTCAGAATAGCCTGGTACTGGTCTAACAATAGACACATAGACCAATGGAACAGAATTGAGAACCCAGAAGTAAATCTGTCCCGCTATGGACAGCTGATCTTCAACAAAGGGTCACAGACCATTCAATGGGGAAGAGATAGTCTCTTAACAAACAGTGCTGGTGAAACTGGATATCCATTTGCAGAAAAATGAAACAGGATCCATACCTCACACCATACACAAAAACTAACTCACAATGGATTAAAGGCCTAAATGTTAAACCTAAAATTACTATAAAGTTCCTGGAAGATTACATAGGAACAAAGGTAGAAGTCCTAATTTATGGCATAAATACACTATCAAACATAACTGAAAATGCACAAATGACAGAAGATAAACTAGACAACTGGAACCTTCTAAAAATTAAATACATGCGCTCATCAAAAGACTTTACCAAAAGAGTAAAAAGAGAACCTACAGACTGCGAAAAAAATTTTGGCAACAACACGTGACAAGGGTTTAGTCTCTAAAATATATAGAAAACTTCAACACTTCAACAACAAAAAGACAGACAGTCCAATCAAAAAATGGACGGACATTTCACCAAAGAAGACATTCTGGCGACTAACACATGAATAGATGCTTGCAATCATCAGCCATCAGAGATGCAAATCAAAACTACAATGAGATACCATCTCATGCCTGCAAAAATGGAACTGATCAAAAAAACAAAACAACAAATGCTGGCAAGGTTGTGGGGAGATTGGAGCTCTTATCCACTGCTGGTGGGAGTGTAGAATGGTACAACCACTGTGGAAAGTGGTATGCACTTCCTCAAAAAGCTAGAAATAGAAATACCGTATGATTCAGCAATCCCACAGCTAGGAATATATCCTAGAGAAATAAGAGCAGAGACACTAATAGACATGTGCACACCCATGTTCATTGCAGCATTGTTCACAATAGCCAAAGACGAAAATGACCTAAGTGCTCATCAGCAGACGAATGATATAAACAAATTGTGGTACATGCATACAATGGAATAGTACGCAACAATAAAGAATAATGATGAGTCTGCAAGACATCTTAGAACATGGATGAATCTGGAGGACATCATTGCGAGTGAAATAAGTCAATCACAAAGGGCAAATATCGTATGAGACCACTTTTATAAAAAGTCAGGAATAGGTTTATACACAGAATGCAACATTCTTTGCTGGTTACCAGAGACGGGAGGGGAAGGGAGGGAGAATCACTCACTAGATAGTAGACATGTGTTAATTCCAGTGAAGGGAAAGAAAATACATAATATGGGGGAAGTCAGCACAATGTGACCAAGGTAAATGAAGACACTGAAAGGTACAGAAGAATAAAGGACAACTACAGTAAAGGCTATAACCTATACAATTCTGCAACAGTAATAACAACCAAAAATTCATGAGTGGTTTCACAGGTAAGTATGTATGCTATATAGGCATGGGATGGGGTATGGGAGTACACGCACGTGCATGTATAGATTTAGTGTGGGCATTGGTATATACGTATTTGTATGTGCTGGATATACATTCATATATATAATAAAGCATATAGGGGGCAGAGTTATGGAAACTCCTCAGACATATCCAAACACCTCATGGGACTGAGTTACTGGGCTTAGAAGGCTAAGGACCATCGTCTTGGGGGGCATCTAGGTCAACTGGCACAACATGGTTCATAAAGACCATGCTCTCCATCCTACTTTGGTGAGTAGTGTCTGGGGTCGTAAAAGCTTGCAAGTGGTCCTCTAACACACAACTACTGGCCTCCTCCTGTCTGGAGCAAATGAGAGTGAAGGAAACCAAAGACGCAAGGAAGCAATTAGTCCACAGGAGTGATGACCTACACACGAACCACAGTCTCTTCTAGCCTGAGACCAGAGGACCTAGATGGTGCCCGGCTGCCACTACCAACGTCTCTGACCAGGGACGCAATAGAAGGTCCTGGTTAGAATGGGAGAAAAATGTAGAACAAAACTTAAATTCATAAAAAAGACCAGACTTACTGGACTGATACAGACTGGAGGAACCCCCAAGACTATCACCCTAAGACACTCTTTTAACCTGGAACTGAAGTCACTCCCAAAGGTCACCTCTCAGCCACGTAACAGACTGGCCTATAAAATAAACAAGAACGCCGTGAGGAAAGTGCTCCTTAGAACAATCAACTATATGAGGCCAAACGGGCAACATCTGTCCAAAAGCCAGGATGAGAAGGCAAGGAGGGGCAGGGAAACTGGAGGGATGGAAATGGGGAAAGCAGGGTGGAAATGGGGAGAGTGCTGACACATCGTGGGGACAGCAACCAATGTCAGAGAACAATTTGTGTATGAATTGTTGAATGGGAAACCAATCTACTGTGTAAAATTTCACCTAAAACACAGTAAAATGTTCAAAACAAAAGAAGACATGCCACAGACAAACAGATGTAAAACTCATGGTAGATTCATTTGGGTATATAGCAAAATTCTTTGGCTTTAAAATAAGGAAATAAAATCATTCAATCAAGTTAGCCAACAAAAAACAACGGTCATTAAGAGCTTGGAAAACATGCATTTAATATAGGTTTTTGTCCATTATAAGAGAAATGGTAATGAGTGAGAAAATGGGCTTTCTGGAGGCAACTAACAAACACAGTTGAGACACAAAGCATGGTCCTCCTGGGCAAGAGACGGCACTGATGGTCTAGTTTTTTTTGCGGAAAATATTTACCCTGCTGGTTTCAAAGTGCTGAAAACCAGGCATTTGGGGACTCAGTATGTTCCAGTAAAAAACTGTCCAACTGTTATTCTGGAAACTAAACAGTGGGAAGGGAAACTCTTTCTCCACGTCAGCTACAGACATCGTCCTGGGTGAATACATGGAAAAACTCAAAGAAGTTTCTCGATTGCTGATGTCACCCATCCTCCCTTGTGGAAACAGCAGCTTAAAGAAAGAACTCTACAACACTAAGCTTACCTCTCATTTCGTCCGCAAACTTCTGGCTCTGATTTAAACACTGCCTGGCCTTCTGGAGCTCTTCCTCCAGGTGGCCGACTTCTCTGGCCCTTTGCTCAGACTGACTCTTGAGGAGATTGTTTTCTTTCTTCATTTCCTAAAAGGTAGATTTCATTGGTTATAAACAAAACAAATGCTCGAACAAGTTATGACTTCGGCCTTAGTCAGGGTCCCGAATGAAAATGTTCATCCATGTCACTTGGGGAAGAATCACACCTTCCCTTTGAGTACTTGATGAAGTTAGACATAACTTACTTAAATCAAATAATTTTACCAACAGATGTTCAAAACAAAAGCACAAAATTCCAATCTGATGTTAATTTCTTACCCTCAAGAAATACATTTCTTTGAAAGTTTCTGATCGTTCACACACTTGTTAAAAGTGAGTGCATAAGGAAAATCCTACTTACAAGATCCTTAGAGAGAAGCTACGAGTTCGTATCACATCTGAATGACCAGCTACATCTTTGCAAAGATTTAATGCGTTAATAAAACAAAAAATCCACTTGCCAAATTTCTCCTTCTTTTCATTGTACAACCATCTTAAGTGTCACTGTTCTCGGGATGCCTTTATGGGTAAAATTACCTTCAACAAATGTTTGTCAGGAAAAATCTACAATGTGTAGGACGCTAGAGCAGGCATTTTGAAAGATGTAAATGTGAAGAAGACAGAGTCCTTGCCCTCAAGGCAGGTATCCCCCGGCTGGGGAAGATGTGATACCGCTTATGTAATACACACCAAAAACAAAAACAAGCCATTGGCACCGAGTCAATTCCGACTCAGAGTGACTCTGTATACCCAGAATGTGCTAAAGAGAGGTTGTGCGTGCTGTGGAAAAGCAGAGGGACAGAGAAGAGAAGGAGGAATTCATCCAAGATGGGGGAGTCTGAGCTTTCATGGTGAAAACAGGTTCTTCGGGTGCCTGACGAATTGAAGTATCCTGCACCGATATGCAATAGCATAGCAGAGAGGCACATGCAGACCCAGTCACTGATCTAAGGAGACCTGTATGTTCTTCTGACTCTTGAAACCCAGCCATATGTGCAGGCCAAATAAACCCCACTGATTATTAACCACGGGAAGATGCACACACTCAACGCTATAAATCCTCTGTTCACGTTCCTCCACCTGTTTTTCAGCTTCCAGTAATTTTTTCCAATGAGTATCTCAGCCTATCTTGTCTGCCAGCCTCTGGACCACAGGGAGTTGGGTACATCACAGCAAACTGACAGAACCAAGAGTGTCCCATCTTTGGGGGCAAAATAGACCTGTATATTCTTTGTTCATTTAGCATAAGGATTTTAAAACCTCGCTTTGAAAACACCAAAGGTCCCTCTCTGACAAGTGGGGAAAATTTTTGAATCTTACAGAAACCATTGAGACCCATCCTCCAAAATCCTACTGCTCCGCCAGAAAACAAGATGGCCCTGGCAGTGCCGTGCTGGAAAGCTGCCTTCAATTATCAGTCTGGTTACTACCAGCAGATGGGGACCCATGTAGCAAAGCCAAATTCAAGAAGAGGGAGAATCTGGATAGTAGCAAGTACTTGAAAACTTGCTGGCAGCTGTTCTGTTCACGTATATATGTTCATTTCATCATTAAACAAGACGACCTGTTGTAGTTATATTCCCGTCTCCTGTGTCCTAATCCCGTCTCCCTTCCACTAGCTGAACAGATGCTCTACGGGACAAAGACATCAGTCAGAACTCGGAGGCAGCTCTGACATCTCAACACCGACAGGCAAAGGCTCACATCCCCCAAACCCAAATCCACTGCGGTCCAGTCGAGTTGATTCCGATGCATGGTGACCCACTGGTGTTAAACTCTGTAGAATAATCGTTAAGGTGCAACAATGTTATTGATCTAAATTAGTGTCATTGAACCACAAAAACCACGATCACTTGTTTGTTCTCCAGGCTGGGAACGATCACCGCTTAAATGAGATCCCAGACGTAAAAGGAGAAACATCTTACAGCACCCTAACAGGGGTAATGGAGCACTATTAGGAGTACTGCTCCCCAAAACTGAACACTATCCAGACCCCATGATCAATGCCAAGACTAATACTGTATCTGGAGGCTTGACAAGAAAGCCGGGCAGACCCTGTGCACCAAAGCTGAAGGCGTCCCGGTGGAAGGAACGAAAGCAAGCAGGAGAAAAGGCAGGGAGGACACCAGGGAGGAAGGGACCTGACTTATGTTTATGTGTCTGTGAGTCTCTGGCAGTTCTGCCCATAAAGGGAGGCATTTAAATGAAAAGTAAGCTCATTAGAAAGATCTCCGCATCTCTCTCTCTTCTGACATTAGCTCCATAAATACTTGTTTCTAATGAAGAAACGTCCAGCCAACCCTGGGACCCAACAGGCTTATAAAGCTATGGCTGTGACCAACCCAAGAATTTAAAAGGCCAGAATTTAGACAATGAGCATCTGAAAGCATATCTGCAAGCTGCCATCCACCAGCATTTAGTTTTCACAAGGCAACAGCCACTGAAAACTTGAACGGGAAAGCTCATTATCGACAATGAGTTAAGCACTCAAGGATATATTCTCCCAGGCATCTCTTACATCCTCACGTGATTTGCAAAATTGGGCACAGTCTGGAAAAACACAACAAAACTGCCTATAACCACAAGCCAGCATTTGAGCTTAGCAAGCCATTCCGCCCAGATCAACTTGGGTTTAGACGCGGCAGGGGAAGCATCATTCGCTAGGGCCAGACGAATCACATTTCAGTTACCGTGTGGCATTTCACAAGCCCATCCATGAATGAAGCTTAATACGTCCCCTGCTAGGGTAAAGTCTGCATCATGAAAAAGGGATGATGCTGAGGGGGTGCTTCTCCCCCTCCACCAATCATTCTTGCCTGCCAGGCCAGACTCCTCGGAGGACCTAATGCAATCCAGATCCCTGTGCTGGGAAAGGTCCCCAAGCTCGTGTTCCTGATCTTGACTGTCAAATGCTGGTTATTTTATTGCCCAGCCCCAGTGGTACTTACTGGGCTGGCACCGACAGCTGGATGAGTCCGTAGCTTCTCTAAACCCTCCATTCACTTTGATACTAAATGTTAACTTCACCCTTGACTGAGCCATTAAATCACATTTCCAGCACCAATAATTTCTCAGTGCAAGCAGCACATTGGTTTACTAAACACGAACAAGGAAAATGTCAGTACAACTGTCACATTATTTCAGCATCCAAAACCTATAAACGTGCTAAACTTGTTTGTGCTTACTTATAATTAGATACAGAAAGTTACCCAGAGTGAGAGAATAGAACAGGAAAAAGTTTCAGCATTAAGAATCTCAAGTGCCCTGTCGCCTGCTCCTCGTTTTCTGTGTCTACGAGTGACGGCGAACGCGGGCAACATCGAAAGGCGGTGATAGCTGTGAGGACCACAGCAAGGAACAGGTGGTCGCCTATAGCCCGCTTTACTCACTAAGCGCTGGGCAAAATACTTCACACACGATATTTAACGTAACATTACTACCAAAAACAAACAAACCAAACCTGTTGGCATCGAGTCAATTCCGACCCAGAGCAAGGCTATAGGACAGGGTAGGACTGCCCCATAGGGCTTCCAAGGAGCAGTTGGTGGATTCAAACTGCCAACCTTTTGGTGTGCAGCCTAGCTCTTAACCACTGTACCACCAGGGCGCCATCATTACTACAGTCTTAAAAAAGAAACCCATTGACATCAAGTCGATTCTTACTCATAGCGACCCTATAGGACTGAGTAGAACTGCTTAGAAACCCACAGGGTCTCCAAGGAGCAGCTAGTGGGTTTGCATTGCTGACCTTTTGGTTAGCAGCCATAGCTAGCCATAGCTCTTAACCACTGCGCCACCAGGGCTCCACTACGGCCTTGAAAAGGGATATTAGTAGCCCCGATATACAGTTGAGGATGCCTAGGTGGCACAGATAGTTATTAAGCACTCAACTACTAACCAAAATGTTGGAGGTTCAAGCCCACCCAGAGGCAGTTCGGAAGAAAGGACTGGCAATCTACTTCCAAAAAATCAGCCATTAAAAACCTTATGGAGCACAGTTCTACTCTGACACACAGGGGTCACCATTAGTCAGAATCGACTGAGCAGCAGCTGGTCTGGTTTTTCACAGAGAGATGAAGACAGGCTCAGAGAGGGCAAGCATTTTCCGAAGGTCACGCAGCAGGTAAGTGGAGGAAGGTGATGTGATTTCAGATCTCTCTCAGTCTAAAGCCACCAACATACTGCCACCAACCCGTACCACTGTTCTAGCTGGGTAAATCACTTTTCTGATCCCAATTCCAACTCAAGGGGCGAGAGCCAGCTAAACCCTTAGCGTTCTTGGTATCATCCTCAAAGCAGCAGACACATATCCCTAAGTTAAGACAAAAACTAAATTAATTATCAGACACTGTCCTAGGCACTTTCACATAACTGCCCTCATTTGACACAGAATTCAAATAAAATTCAAACACGAGGTGCATTTAACTTAGTAAAAAAAAAAAAAACCAACAAACAAACCCACTGCTGTTCGAGTCGATTCTGACTCACAGTGAACCCAGTGGACAGAGTAGAACTGCTCCATAGGATTTCCAAGGAGCAGCTGGTGGATTCGAATTGCTGACTTTCTGGTTGGCAGCTGACCTCTTAACCACTGTGCCACCAGGGGTCCTAACCTAGCAAAGGCTAGAGTCAAGTATAGAAGCTCTGCTGCTGACGAGCCCGGCCTGGTGGGGATGAACGACCTTCAGGAACACCTGCACGCCAGCGTCCAGCCCACTGCTGCATCGTGGCCAAGCAAACAGTGCTGGAAGTGTTTGGACTCTCTTCGCCAGATGATGGCTTTTACAAAACGTTTCCACCAGGCAGCCAGCGGGGTCGCGGGAGAGTTGCTGGCGGGCAGGGAAGCTCGCAGAGGGAAGCGTTCGGCGCCAGTCTGCCTGTGGAAATGTTAGCAGGAGCATCTGTTGGTCGGTCTCCACTGGCCAAAAGGCAAACATTTGTTTGCTGAAGCAAACACTTCCATTTGAAAACGTTCGCTGACAAAACCATCACTGCATGTGAAGTTGTCTTGCTCTTGGGCTGCTGGAGTTCTGGCCTCCGTCCCCAGCGGCGTCCCCAGAGGCCTCCATCCCCAGCGGCCTCCGTACCCAGCAGCCTCCGCCCTTGGGGACTACTGACAGCTACTGACAGCTGTTCTCATTTTCCCATTGCCACACACGCTCAGAGCTCTGGGGGTGAGTACACACAAACGTCTCACCTAGACGAATAATCATTCTTTACAGAGAATTTTTTTTAAAAAAGAATCCTTACTGCCTAACCAGTGATCAGAGAATACTTACAGGATGAGTGGAAAAACACTCTTTCCTGTGACATCTGAGGGAGAAGAAATTGCCACTATCATCTGTTGTATTTCTTCTTAAAATTACCATGTTGGTCTCTATTGTCGTTAGGTGCTGTTCAGATGGTTCCAAGTCACGGCAACTGCACGTACAACAGAACAGAACACGGCCCGGTCCTGCACCATCCTCACAATCCTTGCTGTGCTTGAGCGCATTGATGCAGCCTCTGTGTCGATCCACCTCGCTGAGGGTCTTCCTCTCTTTCGCTGACCCCCTACTTTACCGAGCATGATGTCCTTCTCCAGGGATAACGTGTCCAGAGTACATGACACGAAGTCTCGTCATCCTCGCTTCTAAGGAGCATTCTGGCTGTACTTCTTGATTGATGGCTCTCTTCAGATTGCTCCAGTCTGCTAACTGTCCCTACATGGTTCTTGATTAAGCCCTTTATAATAAACTCCAGTGCACAGAGTAAGCTCGGAGAGACGCCACGTTAAAAGTATGTACGTAAAAAGTCCTGTTGGCAGAAACGGCACTGCCAGCATCCACACTATTTGTGGGCCCTCACCCACCACTGCGCATGATAAACATCAATCAGAGATGTGTCAGCTGGCGCTTGCATGCACGGGACGCCATGTTAACGCCGACTTCTGAAGCCAAAGTGACAAAATGTACAGTTACTTGATGCTTTTATAAAAATTTTAAACCGAGAAACGCTTCATCTGTGGTTGCTTTCGTTTATATAAATCTACGACTTTTCACAAGGTTTTGTACATTTGGTGAATCGAAAGTCAGGCCTTGGAAAGGGATTTATATTACACTTCCCACCACCAATTTTATTACTTTCCGTGTAGAAAATCTCTCCTTTTCTCCTTTAATGTTTACTGTCTCTTAGGTGGTCTAAACTTACTCTTAAAAAAAAAAAGATACACGATCCTAATAAAAGCTATGTTTTCCCATAATTATTATATACACATTAATAATTATATTGGGATGCAAAGTCAAAAAACAATACTTATGTTCAATGTCACAGATTATATCCACAACAGTTTGCAATACTTCTGCCAAATAAAAGAGAAGACTATATATGGCATGAAAAAACTACTGAAAAAGCACACAGAAATTCTCTTTTAACCCTCACACTGCACCCCGTACCCACTCACTGCCATCGAGTCGATTCCAACTCACAGTGACCCTGTAGGACAGAGTAGAACTGCCCCTTAGGGTTTCCAAGGCTGTAAATCTGTACAGAAGCAGAGCGTCCCATTTTTCTCCCGCAGAGCGGCTGGTGGGTTCAAACCACCAACCTTTTGGTTAGCAGCTGAGCATTTCAACCACTGTACCACCAGGGCCCCTTTCACCCCACACAAAAGTCGATAAGTACCTGTCTCTACTCCTCACCCACCTCACTGCTTCTCGTCAGCTCACTCTCTCTGGTCTGACTCACCTGTAATGCCTGTTCGGTTCTGCAGAACTTTTGCTTAAACTCTTCCAAATTTTTTTCTAGATGTTGCTTTACCGATGTGACCTACCAAGAAAAAAACAAGGTTTAAGTTGTACGTTTTTAAATTTCTTTTTAACGATCATTAATTCTTAAATATTAACAAGGTTACTGGATACAGTAATTCATGACATCTACCTTGGTGAGACACCATACATGTCACAGCTAAATAGAGCATGGTAATCAACTTAGATACCACATCGTGAACATATGACATCATTTGGGGAGCAGCAGAGAGAAGATGAAAGCAGCTGGGTTGGAGGAGGAAGCCACAAAAGGAAAAGTACTACTAATAAATGAAACAAAAAGTTAAGACAGGAAGCAGCCTGAGAGAACACATCTGCAACATGGTAAAACCTGTGAAAGCTGGGACCTGTGCAAGGCAGAAGCCTGCCAGAGAAGGAAAATGCAAATATTTTCCAATAAAACCAGCGACAGAGAAGGGGTAAGACTGCACCCCCTGAAAGGCGGAAAACTTGCGAGACAGAGATACACAAGGCAGTTGAGTTCGGGCTCTTGCAGGTTCACGGTGCGTACAGTGGAATGTAAAAGTTCATATCCAGAATACAGCATGGAAAGCACATCTATGATTCAATTTACAGAAAGACAAACAAATAAAAAAACGGTCAAGGGATAGAAACAGAAAAATTTAACGGAGAAATAGAAACGGTAAATTGACTTCTGAAAGAATTGACCTTGATGGTAACCAGGGAAGCGTGCATTAAAAGAGTGAGAGATGTTGGAATAAAAGCATCTGAAAGGCCAGGACTGTCTATCAGCAGGGACTGGGAGTAAAAGGCCCTAGGTCACAGACGGCGGGAGAGTAAACTGCTCCAAGTCCTGTGGCACTGAAGCCATCAGGAGAAGCAGGGGGCTGCTGAGGACAGGAGTCGGTCAGCCCGTACTTTATCCAGCTCGGCCTGGAGGATGCTGTGAGTGTTCTTGACTTGCTGCAGCTCCTGGGTGAGCTTAGCTTTTGCCTGAGTGCACTCTCGGTCCAGGGTCTGGAAACACTGCTGTTGACGGGAGAGTTCCTAAAAATCAGGGAACATACACATTAAACTGACAATGGTTAAAATGGGAGATTCCAGGGTGACACACAAACCTCCCACAGGCAAGGCGATCTTGAAAGGGCAGTAGACAACAGGGAGCCCAGCCGACCATCCACTTAACAACAAACATAATCAGCCCCATTATGGGTCCGGTAATCAAATACAGGTCTCTGAAGGGGAGGGGAAGGAGTCTGCAGTTGACCACGTGGAAACCTGCCTGTTTCCGCATCATTCCCGAATCATAAACTAATCGTCTCTATTTTGAAGGATCTGAGGGCAAAGGAGAGACGAGCTGAGCTGCAATGGTCACGACTCAGCTGAGAAAGGAAACACACTCAGAATCGAGGTGGAAAGTATCCTATACCACGTGCCAGTTACAATGGTCTTCAGTTTACAAGGACAGAAAATACATGCCGCCAGTTAACTTTGCTAAGCGCAGAAGGACACCAGATTAACATCTCCAGCTGCTCATATTGGAAGGCTCCAAACTCTCCATCCACACGTTGTGCTTGCAGGCCGATCACCCGAAGGCACCAGGCGGCCGCGGTAGGCAAGGAAGGAGACCCACCTTCACCTGACCTGCCTTCCGGCTTCTTTCCCCACCTCCTCAACTACCTTTCTCGTACAGCTGCCAACCTCCAGGTGTTAAAACCACTGGAAACGGTCCTACAGTTTCCCTCACAGAAGGGAAAGTGTCAGAAAGAAGCGTGATCCTTTCTTACCCAGTAGGAAATCTCACTCAAACCAGAAGACATGGATAAAACAAAATTCTGACTTCTCTTGCTCACAAAGCATCTCCCCTCTGACAGAATTTCCCAAATTATGATAAATAGTTCCTCTTGTCAAATGATCAACCTATGAAATGTCGGCAAGAGTCTTCCAGACAAACTCCTGAGTCCGCTGACCTCACCTGCTGAAACTCCTTCTCTCTTTCCTTCATCTTCTGCTCCAGGGAATATCTGGTACTTTCTGCATTTTGTCGCTGACAACTCAAATCTTCAGTCAGTTTTTTCAGTTTGTGTTCCAATGCAGTACACTAATAACGAAATAAAAGGTTCAATACAAAACAGAAATTATTCAAGGAAAGAAGAAATAGTTGAGTTTTAGAAAGATTAGCCCTAAGATCTGGGTCAAGTTTACCATTGGGCTTTGATCATTTCAAACCCAAGTGTCCATGAAATAAAAACATTAGCTCAATATCAAAACCACTATAATTACCTTAGCACACATAAAATTCATACTTGGAAAACATTAGCAAGGATGTAACATGTTAGGCCATTTAAATAAATACTTCATAATTTCCGCTATGGAAAAAGAGACCAGTGTTTCTGGGTAACAATTCTTTTAACATCTTGTTGTGTGAAACGAGATGTTAAGATGCAGCGGTGCTGACCTATGAATTTTAGAGCCCGAAAATCTTCAGAGGATGCCCACTACCCTCAAATGGAAGTCTGTTTCAAGCGTAGTGGGTTTTGTGGGAAATTTTAAATACTACAATGATTCCATTCCTTCCACGACGCTCACACTGAGCCACTTTAAATTTCTGGAGGTTCACAGGACTTCAGAGAAAACACCAACTGGTCTTTCACTAAGCCTCCAAAGGTAATACAGAGAACATGCTAGTAGCCTCTCTCTATAGCTAGCTATCCCTGAAACTAATTTTTTAAATGTGAACTACTTTAAGTTTCAGAAGGCTCTCCTAAAATTAGGTTAGGACAAAATGGTCTGAAAGCTTCAAGTGTCCAGTGTTGAGCCTCATTCCTTTGAGTTTTCCCAGGCTGCTCGGATCCTTAAACTGCCTACAAAGCAATTCTGAAGTCCCGTGGAGGAGAGAGAAAACTCCACGCTGGCCGGGGAGAACTCCCTGATCCAAAAGAAACATCCCCCAACTTGGCAAACCTTCATCTACTAACGAATTTCTCTGAGATTCAGTATCATCTCATTTGGAACTGTTAGAAATGCTATAATTTTAACTAAACTTTGAGAGGAAAAGAAAACACTATGGTAATACCTTGACAGAAGAGCAGCCAGTCACCAATTACTAACTAAACAAGATGAAAAGAACAAAGGTGGTCATCAATGGCTAAATGATTCTGTAAGCGCCAGAACTTTAGAAATACAAACTTCGAAAAGGAAAATAGTCAGTGCCTCAAATGAATCCACTGCCCTAGACATTCAGACACCTTTGTTCCTTACTGTCCTTGAAATTTTAAATCCCTAAGGGATAGTATCACAGAGACTATAACAGTAATAAACAAGAATTCAAAAGCAAGTATTAATTAAGAACCTACTACAGCCTTCAGTATGGATTACACCTCAACATAAAGAAAACAAAAATCCTCACAACTGGACCAATAAGCAACATTATGATAAATGGAGAAAAGATTGCAGTTGTCAAGGATTTCATTTTACTTGGATCCACAATCAACGCAAAGGAAGCAGCAGTCAAGAAATCAAACAACGTATTGCATTGGGCAAATCCGCTGCAAAAGATCTCTTTGAAGTGTTGACAAGCAAAGATGTCACCTTGAGGGCTAAGGTGCACCTGACTCAAGCCATGGTGTTTTCAATCGCCTCATATCACATGAAAGCTGGACAATAAATTAGGAAGACCAAAGAACTGATGGCTTTGAATTATGGTGTTGGCAAAGAATATTGAATACACCACAGACTGCCAGAAGAGGGCAAAATCTGTCTTGGAAGAAGCAGTCAGAATGCTCCTTTGAAGCAGGGATGGCGAGACTATGTCTCACATACTTTGGACACATTATCGGGAGGGACCAAGGCCCTGGAGAAGGACATCATGCTTGGTAAAGTAGAGGGTCAGTGAAACAGAGGAAGACTCTCAACAAGATGGATTGACATAGCAGCTGCAACAGTGGGCTCAAGCATAACAACGATTGTGAGGATGGCGCAGGACAGGGCAGTGTTTCATTCTGCTGTACACAGGGTCACTATGCTTCAGAACCGACTTGACAGCACCTAACAGCAATGTCAAGCAGTGTTCTAGGCACTGGGGATACAGAAGTGAACAATGCTGAACAAATTCATTGCCCAAATGATTGTCCCAAACTTCTGATGATTGACAATTCTGAGGAAAAAGCCAGGTGTGGCAGAGGAGATGCATGAGGCCTTGTCTCCCTCTGCCGGCGCACCCTCAAACTGCAAAACAACATCCCACTGCACCATCTCACAATCAGGAATTCTTTCCTCCTAGAAACCCTACGCTGTTTTTTTGTTTTTTTAAAAAAAGAGCCTTGAGAAGGTATTTACATTTTGTCTACATTTTCTTAAAACGACATTCTGATGTCAACAATGCACACCGCATGTAAGAGCAGCTGACCACTAGGTGTCAGGAATGCGCCATATTGCTCTAAACCAGCGTTCACAGCTCAAGTCCTTGTAAATTCTGACAGAGCCCACGCCCCTGGGAACTCAGTACTCTGAGAGTAGGTCTCTCATTTGTGAAACACGGCTGCTAACCTCCAGGTTGGCTGCCAGCTCCAACGTGCAGTTTCTACAGGAGTTTGAGCCTTGTATCCCACATGGTTTGTGAACACTTGGAAGAGAAGCATACTAGAAACAGCATATGTTCACAGTACTGAATTTTTTTTAATTAGCTTCATTTTATTGGATAGGTAAATGTAGCGCTAGGTCAGGGAATAGCATGAACAGAGCATGAGCTGATTTCAGCAACATGCTTAACAATCTTGTTAGCTTTAAAGGCAAGACGGAGAAACGTGGACTGGATTTTTGGTTAGGTGGATCTGTAGCTCCCTGGAAAAAGGAGCTCATGGGGGATAGGTGGATATTGACCCAAAGAGTCTTAGGACCCGGGGGGAAGACTCTTGTAGAAAGAAGGTCAGGGCTCTGCCCTCGCACTGTTGCAGTCAAAGATTTTAATTGATGATCCGATGAGAAAAGACCTCATCAAGTACTTTAGGTGGAACAAAGATCCCATGACCTTGTCATACCTAAACCAACAGGGTAAAATGCAAAAGATCCAAAAAACCCACTGCCATCAAGTCAATTCGGACTTAGAGGAGCAACGACCCTACAAGACAGAGTAGAACTGCCCCGTAGGGTTTCCAAGGCTGTAAATCTCTATGGAAGCAGACTGCCACATCTTCCTCCCACAGAGCAGCTGGTGAGTTTGAACCTCCGGCCTTTCGGTTAGCAGCCCATGTAAACTCTCATACTTAGGAAGGCATGATGTGGCAAAAGTGAAATTGAAAACGCGCGTAGTTGACTATAAACTCCACGTGATAGTAAGAGCTAATGCTATTGGAAGTTACCACGTGCCAGGAACTATGCTAAAGGTTTTACAAAAAGTACCTCCATCTTCAGAACAATCCTGAGACAGGCGTTCGTGTGAACGCTGTTTTATCGATGAGGCAACCAAGTCTCAGAAGTTAATTAAATAGCTCCAAAAGCTACACAACTGGGACATGCAGAGCCAAGACTCAAATCCAAGCCTTTCTAACTTAAAAAAGACGAATTACTATTACAAATTGAGACTGCCTGAGGAGAATAAATACATGGATCCAGGGAGGTTCTTGGTTCTTCACCACCCGATCGATATCTAGCAAGTATTTCTCTGTATAAAACAGTAAAAAGGGGAATACTATATGAGCCTGAACGTCCACCTCCAGATAATGGAACCCGTGGATTTTTCTCTATAGCTCCTGCTAAGAACAACAAAAACCCTAGACATTATATCAAGACAAACGTGAGAAGCCATTGAAAGGAGAAGAGAAGAAGGCAGATCAACGAGAGACCCCGGGACCTGAGCAACAATAGGACGGTACTGAGAGAACTGACAACCCAGAATCCTACAGCGAGCAAATCTATCCTTCAGGAGTGAAGAGGAAGTCAAGACGTTCTCAAAGAAAGAAAACAAAGAGAATTTGTCACCGGCCGGCCTAATCTAAAAGAATGACTAACAGAAGTTTTCTAAACAGAAAGGAAATGACAACAGAAGACACGTTGGAAGGAATCGGGGAAAGAAGAACATGGTAAGAAGCAACAATACCGGTAAATAAAATAGGCTTTCCTTCTCTTTATTTTTCTAAATTATATTTGACAGTTGAAGCAAAAATTGTAACACAGCCTGACGCAATTCTAAATACAGTCGATCCTCATTATTCGCAAATTCCGTATTCACAAATTCACCTATTTGCTAAAAAATACCCATGACTTTCTTGTCATTTAGACATGCCCGTACACAGAGCAGCGAAAAATTCCCGTAGGAGATCAAACAAGGGCAATTCGGTATTCACTAATTCCGTATTCACAGGGATTTTCCAGAACATAACTACTACAAGTAACAGGGAGTGACTGTATACAGAGAGAAAACATTCAAGACCATTATAAATGGTGGAGGGAAAGGGGACCGAAAGGGAGGTGAAGTTTTCTACACTTGCCCCCATTTGGTGAAATGATGACACCAGTAGACTGTGACAACTGGTGCATACATCACACAAAATCTAGAGCAACCATTTAAAAAGCTCTGCAAAGAAATACGTCCAGAAACGCAATAGAAGACAATCGACCTGATCAAAAAATGGGGACTCAAATGGACGTGTCTCCAAAGAAGACGTACGAACATCCAGCAAGCACCTGAAAAGACGCCCCACATCATCCGTCTCTGGGAAATGCAAATCAAAACCGCGGTGAGACACCACTTAACCCCCACTAGGATGGCTATGATCAGAAAAGCAGAAAACAATATCAGCGAGAACGTGGAGAAATTGGAACCCTCATCCACCGTTGATGGGACTGTAAAATGGTAAAGCCACTGTAGAAAACAGTTTGGTGGTTCCTCAAAAAGTTAAAGACCAGTTTTACACAATCTCTTTCAGAAAATAAGAGTAGGGAACACTTCGAATTCATTTATGAAGCTAGTATTACCATGATACCCAAACCATCCAAAGACAGCACAAAAAAAAAAAAAAAAAAAAAAAAAACTACAGACCAACATCCCTCAAGAACACAGACACAGAAATCCTTAACAAATTACTAAACCCATTGCCATCAAGTTGATTCCGACTCATAGCGACCCTATAGGACAGAGTAGAACTGTCCCATAGGGATTCCAAGGAGCAGCTGTATGGATTCTATCTGCCCACTTTTTGATTAGCAGCCATAGCTCACCATAGCTCTTAACCACTGCACCACCAGGGCCCCAAATTACAAGTAAATAAAATTCAGAAATATATAAACAGAATTATACACCATGACCAAATGAGGTTTATTCAAAGGATGCAGGGCTAATTCAATGTATGAAAATCAATCAATGTAATCCATCATATTAACAGACTATTATTTTTTAAAACCACATGTGAATCTATAATTATCTCAAAATAAAAAATTTTAATTTAAAAAAAAGAAGGAAGAACCTGCCTACTGGAAGCAAACAGAAAAACTAGGTCTACTCCAATGATTTTACCTGCTGCCTCAAAACCATCTAGGGGGTTTATGAAAAGTAAATTTCCTATCTTATAAACAATTATGTGAATGTAGACTGACAACAGTTAATCTAAAGCATGGGTGAGAACTTTAAGAGGCAGAGAGCCTGAATTAATGGTGATGAAACAATATGAGCAGAGACAGTGAGAATCGTGACATGATGTGAAGTATGTCACCAATGTCATTGACCTGCTCATGTAGAAATGGTGAATGGATGTATAACTGGCTGGGAATACTGCTATGAAAAATAAAATATTTTTTTAAAAAGTAACTTTCCTAAACCTACCTCAAACACGGGTCTAACAGGATTAATTTTGTAAGGTTCCCTTTGATCGTGATAATAGCCAAGTGTGGAAACCACAGGCCAAGGTGAATAACGGCCATCAAGAGTCATCAAGCGGGCGCCAGGAGAAGAGGCCTGACTGAAGTAAGGGCTGAGGGAAGGAACTCGCAAGGTGAGAAAGACGCCAAGAGTCACACCTGAAGAGGAAAGTTTTCAAGAAGAAAGGCAAGTGTGAGCAGAGCATCGGGCCTGGAGGTCACGTTTGGAAAACACCAAATTCGTGGTTGCTCCTAGAAGGAGCTCATTTTCCTCCACAACACATATCGATCACCACATACCATACTACATACGTTACTCATTTGTGTTTGTCATATTCTGCCTCCTACAATTACAATGAAGCTGTGATTTTTGTCTGTTTTCTCTCTGCCCCACCCGCAGGGGCTTAGACAGTGCCTGACATGTAAAAAAAAAAGCCCACTGCCGTTGAGTCGATTCTGACTCACTGCGACTCTGCAGCGCAGGGTAGAACTGCCACGTAGGATCTCCAAGGAGTGGCTGGTGGGTTCGAACTGGTGACTTTGGTTAGCAGCTGAACTCTTACCCACTGCGCCACCAGGGTTTCCGCCTGGCATATAGTAGGAGTTTAGTAAATACTTGTCAGATGAGTGAGCGGTGAATGAATGAGCAGAAAAAAGAGAAGACAAGACTGAGGCAGTAGGTGGGGCCAAAGAACAGAAACATTAAAAAAAAAAAAGCCTCTCAAACAACAGGTAAAGAAGCTTGGCCTTAACTGAAGCCATAAAGATCAAATGGCATTCCAAAAGTAGATCACCCTAAACCCTAGCATATGTCCTGAAATTGTTTTAATACCCATTCCGTTAATATGTTTAAATGCCCGCTCTCTGTGCCAGGTGCTGTGTATGTTGTTGTTGGGTGTTTTCAAGTTGACCCTGACTCCTAACGACCCCATGTGACAGAGCAGAACTCCCCCATAGGGTTTTCTGGGCTGTGATCTTTCCGAGAGAGATCCCCAGGTCTTTCCCCACAGGGTCTCTGCATGAGTTCGAACCGACAACCTTTCGATTAGCAGCCGAGTGCTTAACCATTGCGCCTCCAGGGCTCCTTAGGTGCTGTAGATTCGTTATGTTTACTTTTCTCCACACCCTGAGACATAAAAGAGATCAGTGACTTGCCCAGAGTCACTCAGCTGGGAAAATGCACAGCCAGGATTTGGCCCCAGACTGGTCCAACTCTAAAACATCTTACTAGTTCAATTACATCAACACTGTCTAGCCTGTACTAACGAAGACCACCACTAGCATTTATTTCATGAATTTAAGCGTAAGGTACTCTTTCCCAAGAACCGTATGATGAGATGGAGATTTTCCAATAACCCACAAAAAGTCCAGTACCTGAACTGAAGCCTGATCATATTGTGCTGCTGTTCTCACCAGCTCATCGCTGTTTTTGTTCAAAACTTTCTCTTTTTCAATTAATTCCACTTTTGCTGTCTCCATCTGGAGTTGGAGCTCTTGAAATTTATTCACTTGGCTTTTCAGTTCTTTCTCTTGTCCTTGCAGCTGTAGTTCCAATTCACTAATCCGGCTTCTTAGCTCTAAAATCACAAACAAAAATCACACTTCGATCAATATGCATTTTCCACAAAATTTCACTATTAAATTCAGAATTTATTGTTCATTTTACCCCGCTCTGAAATCTTTGGTGAGACAAATATAAATCAGTTTACATTAAACACAGAGCTACTTTAATTGGTTTTAATTTCAATGTTTATAGTCTCTGTCGTCATTTGCATTCAAATACCCTTTAGAAAACAGGCAAAACAGATTTTCTTACTTCTTCAGAGGAAACTTGCGGGAGTGGCCGGGGGGAGTGCTTTTCTAAAATTGCAAACAGTCTTTTATTTCGGCTGCAAAAAGTGCATCATATGTAACATCCTTTGTTTAAATTACCACTTGGTTTTATATACTGGCAGACTAACATTTGTTTTGTGCCCATCTGAATGCAAATGAGTGCTAAACAGTGGAAAAAAATCACCCTCCTATATTCTCTGGTCGCTTCACCTCCAGTAAAGATCAAGACAGTGTGAAGCTCCTATACTGCCAAAATTAACAATGATTGTTTTCATCCCCCCCCCCCCAGTACATACACAATATTGGACCAAATGCCGGCAGCCTGATGGCTCTCACCAGCAAACATGGACAGTCATGTTCAATCCATCATACCACTGGAAATTTTCATACTCTGCAGAGTAGATCCCAAAACACCACCTGGTGCCCTTGGCTGTCAGCTGCAGCACGGGGCAATGGCCAAGGGCACAGGTCAGATCCCATACAGACAAGCTGCCATTGAGGGCACAGCACCTCTGCAGACACGTGCCCCAGCTCTGGCCAAGGCCGGTCAGACCACAGGTCTGCAAAACAGCCAGAGGAGAAAAGCGAGCAGTACTGTAACCCTGCTCCTGGAAAGACACATCAGAGCCCCTCGTCCTGCTTCTGAAGGCTTCAGGGCACCAGCTTTTCTCAGTACAAATAAAGGTATGTTCCAAAATTGTGACATCTTCTCCCTTTTACTGAAAAGGCAGTATTTCTCATTACCAGTCTGGGAGGCTGACCGGTGACGTGCACCACAAAACACAGCAGTGCTTTCTCGGAATAGAGTAGCCTAGACTCACCTATTACATTGTGTCAGGAAAAATTAACTTAATTTAGCTTACGAAGTTACCTTGATTCTGGGTTTTTAGTTGATCCAGAAGATGAAAATTGCTAGAATCACAGAAGCTGCTATTTGTGTCTTTGTTCCCTATCTGCAAAGTTGATCTACTTGGAGTCACGTCTTGCTCCCCGGCAAGGTGAGATGCAGGGAAATCTCTCCTGTTGCGTGTTTTCCGGGCACTAGATGAAAGACGACTTGGGGTCTTCTCTTGTTGCCACGAGAACACAGACGAGGAAGCCTGATGCCGAGCAATCTCTCGGTGATTCATGGTGCTTTGGGGAACACCGGGGCTTGCTTTCTGCAAAACCAGAAACTCCTTAGAGCACCTTAGAAGTCCCAATGAAAAAGACCAAAACCCAACCCCTCGCCGTCAAGTCAATTCCAACTCACAGCAATTCTATGCTATTTATTTTCAGATAGAACATAGAGCTGTAATGAAAAGGAGTTAACACTTCTGACAGGCACCAGGAAAGACGAATGTTCCATGCCACAACGTGGAGGACCCTTGAAGATACTGTGCTGAGTGATATAAAGTCAGTCACAAAAGGACCAGCACTTTGCGATCTCACTTACTTGAAATAGGCAGATATATAGAAACCAAAGCTGCTTCGTGGTGACCAGGGCTGGGAGGGAGGGGGAAGAGGGAGTTACATTTTATGGGGAGTTAAGAGTTTATGTTACTGGTGGCAGAATAATCCGGAAAAGGGTAGTGATAATGGTTGCACACACAAAGAATGTAACCAGTGTAACTAAACTATACACATAAAAAGTATTGAATTGCTGAATGTTTTGTTTCTATATATTTTCACCCAATTAAAGAAAATTAATTAAAAATATATTTTTTGAAAATCCTATTAAAAAAAAAGTATGTTCATCAAGATAAAGAAACCATCAAGCCCCAGAATCCAGTGGCAGAATTTTCTAAAGTCAGATTTCTCAGCGTTTAAGCTGGTACCGTCTGAGGCTCAACCCATTTAAAACGCACCAAGTCTCAGGATTTGCTCTGCATCCCTCATATACTCCATTAAACATGAGTATTCACCGCCATTGTGAACTCCAAAACTGGCTTTCCTTTGACTATCACAGGTCACGTCCCCCTGTAGCTTTGCACAGAGAACGAAAATTAATTATCAGCCTGAAGAACACCTTTGAGAATTTCCGCTTTCTGCCATAGCACTCCCCCAAAAAGTGTTATGAGGAGTTTTGTACTATGTAATATACAATTTTGAATCGTCGGCTACTTTGAATTGTCTTAGCTGTAGATGTTGCATTGAATTTCTTATAGCGAGAGATTTGCTTGCCCTAGCGAGAGGCTTATGTTTATGGAGACTCACATCTCTCCATAGAATAACTCTGGGAATCAGGTCGGGTGAGAATTGGTACAAATGACTGAACTGGATGACAAAGCCTGTGATATTTCTAAGGCAAACCAGGGAATTATTTATTTTTTTGTCCATTTAGCTTAGCAATGCGTTTGCTAAATATCAGAATCCCAGTGACTTCAAAACGAGTATTAAAGGCATAAAAAGAATTTAAGTTGTTAAAACTCTAATGAATGGGTGGCTGTTAATAATGATTCTTAAATCCTCAGTATTTATGGTATCTACTCATAAATTCAACGTTGAATTGTTGCTGAATTGTGCCATCTCACCAAGCTCTTACATGTAGCAGAAATGCATCATTAAGGACCAAACCGGGTTGCTTAGCGCACAACACATCATGCATAGACAAAAATTCTGTGTATATCAAGTATTTCCATGCCCAGGCCCTGATCTGTAAGTAGGGCTTTTAGAAACGTGCATTTCTTTTGTTGAGATTAAGCAAAGCTTTTCACCCACCTCTCTCTGCTTCTTGACCAACATCAAAAACGGAGTTAAACACTCTTGTTAGCAGCTTATTTAAAAGGATGGAGGAGATGATGCTGATAACCTTCTCTTCTGAAATAAACAGCTCACAAATGATGATTCTCAAACCCGTTTCTGGTAGGAATCACCGCATCCCATCAGAAGGGCCGTACATGAAACAACTGCCTCCAGGTGACAAAGCCAGCCGGTGAAGATCAGGAAGGCTGCAGGTCCCACCCTCTCCAAACATACTCTTTACCATTAGGTCTTAGTTGGGAAGTATTTATATGGCTATGACTTCTGCCTATTTCCTGAGACTTAATATTTGGAGATAAAGTAAGCTCCCCACCCTATTTTACTCACTCCTAATTATTTTTAAAACCAAAAAAATAACCACAACCAATGAGCCAGGAACTTTATTTTCTCAGTGCAAGAAAAATGTGTCTGCTGTATGTAAAGCAGATTTGCATTTAACCTGGTTCTAGCCTATGGCGAAATATTCTGTAATTACATTCTTATTATAAGGCCCTTATTCATAAGGCCTACAAATAAGGAAGACTGAAGACGAACTGATGCTTTTGAATTACAGTGTTGGTGAAGAATATTGACTGTACCATGGACTGCCAGGAGAAAGAACACGTCTGTCTTGGAAGAAATACAGCCAGCATGCTCCTTTTAGAAGCAAAGATGGCAAGACTTCATCTCACTTACTTTGGACATGTTATCAGGAGGGACCGGTCCTTGACAAAGTACATCATGCTTGGTAAAGTAAAGGGTCAACGAAAAAGACGAAGACCCTCGACAACATGGATCGACACAGTGGCTGCAACAATGGGCTCAAACACGGCAACCACCATGAGGACCGGGCCGTGTTCCGTTCGGTTGCTATGAGGCAGAACCATCTCGATGGCACCTAACAACAACAATTATAAGGCCCATAATTAACTTACTTTAGCCTGCAATGCTTTAACCTCTGCCTCTAATCTTTTTCGTTCTTCAACTTCTTTATTATATTTTTCTTTTAGGTCTTCATACCTGGAACCTAAACACAATGAAACACAGCTTAATTTTTCGATCACTGACTTCATGGAGGAATTCACAGGCCGATAATCTCTATAAGAGAGAATCTAAAAATGAGTATCTTAGTACACCAAGTAGAAAGAACATTTCTCTTAGGACAAAGGCTCAAAATACTGATCAAATTATTTAAATATCAAAATACATAGAAACATAGCTGTCTTGAATATTCTGAAACCGAACTACTTTTAAAACATACCACATAACAATAAAGTGAAAAGTTTAAAGGTGTAACACCATGGCCCAATGCATAGTTCAACAAATATGCAAATGGTGTGTAACAAGTGGTTGCTTTTTTTTTTTAAACACCCAGATTAAAAGTTGGATTCAGCATTGAATTAATTCATTTATTTGACTGAATTAAAATCTCTCAATAGAAGAACTATTTATACCAAGAAACAAAATTCTTACCACTATAATATTGACTTGGTGTGAGTGGAGTTGGAAAAATTTTCTGGGGTGTACTGCCTGGATTCAGAGAGACGTCTGCAGGCAGTGCCGATTGCTGGCTTCTTTCAAGTTCAGATTTACACCTGTGAGAAAAAAGCCCAAGAGGACAGCAAATCCCTTAGAGAAAGGCTACAGAATACCAAGGCAATATGTTCCCAGACAGTAATCAACTTACAAAGAAACCCATCCTCTAAGAATTCTCACCGTTTCCTTTATCCAACAGACGTTTACCTAAAAAGAAATAAACGTGCCTCCCGTCATCAAAGGAACTCAGTCTAGTTGGGCAGACAGAATGTAAACCAATAATGACAAAGTTCTAAAGGCTCCAGGGAGATCTATACCAGCCACTATGGGAACAATGAAGAGTTGGAGGGCTAGGGATATAGTCCAAGCAAATTCTACGTTCTAAGTCAAAGAAAGACACGGGGATATGAAAGAACCCACAGCTTCAGAAACAAGGAGGAAACTGGTCTGAGCATGGGGCTCAAGTCATGAGGCTGGATGAGATTACTTAGTATATTTCGTCAGAACAAAAACATAGACTTTATATACACGTCATGTATTACATTTTTAAAACACAAACGTAAAAATAAGTTGCTACAATGCTTTAGAGACGATATGGCTGCAAACGGAAAGAAGTGGGAAAGTTAACTTATAGATTGTATGTATGTACAGAAACATCCCTACCACTCAAGTAAGATCTAAGCACCTCTCAGAACCAAGCAACCCATGTTATCAGAGGGCTCAACTCTTCCAAGTCTCTAACGTCTCTGATTCAGCTTTACACAGGAAACACAATGAACACCCTAATGACATGCACCAGCCTCTGCCCACAGGCACCTTACTCAAAGCAGGGAGTGAAGAAAGTGCCTCGATGCACCTCGTTTCACTGAGCTCCAGGTTCTGGGAAGGAAGAGGCAATGCACGAGCTGAGAATAATGACTCCTGTTTACAGTAGAGAACAGCAGTAGAAATGTCCAACAGAAATATTCCAATAACATTGAACAAGTAATAACAACAACAAAAGTTCCACAATACGTTCATGGTCTCCAGCCTCAACTACGTGTGGGTGCTCCTCAACCCTTAAACTTCCCTAGTCCTCGCCAACAGCTTTTCCACTCAAAGGAAACATAAGCTATCAGTACAAGCCACGCTTTAACTTCCTTCCATCTCTTCCATCTCGGCTACGTTTGCATTCACCTCTTCCTCCCTCCATGCTTTCACAGTGCACGTATAAAAGTCTCCTCCAGCGCTGATCCATCCCCCATGCTGGAAGTCCACCATCTGCTTTCTCGGGGACCACACCTTATTCTATCTTCTATTCGCTTCTCCATCAACACTAGTTTTCATACTCAAGATTTATAATTATGCACAAAGCTCTCTCTCATTCCTAATAAAAGAGCCTGTCTCACCATACCTGCCCCCACCTCCTTACAGCCAAGCTCTGATAGGTGACCATTTCCTCACCTCCCAGCGCTCCACTCCTGCACGGAAACTGCTCTCCAAGGCTTCAGCGTCCTGTCGTTCATCCAGTGGTCTCATCTGCTTGTCTCCTCTGTACAATTTTGAGACCACAATTGCTCCTGCCTTCTTGAACTTCCCTCTTCCCGTGACGTCAGTGATTCCATACCCTCCCGGCTGTCATTCCACCTTCTGCCTTCTCCTCATTTTCTTTCTAGGATCCTCCTCCTATCTCTGACTCTCTTATATGATGGTGTCTCTCGAGGCTCTACAGCAGATCTTCTTCTTACTCGCCTTACTTTTTCTAGATGATCCAAATCATTCCCGTGGCTTCAGTTACATGCTGAGAGTTCCCGAATTTACGTCTCTAACCCAGAACTCTCTCCCATGTTTCAGATCTGCATATTTTATCTACTGGTCACTTCTATCTAATCTGTGTCCAAGCAGGACTCCATCCCATTCCTCCCTGATCCATGCTCTGTCTCAGTGAAGGCATCTCCATCCAGCTCTCCAAGCCTGAATTCTAGCAATCATCCTTTTCTTCCCCACTGGCCTCCCCTACACCTAGTCACCAAGACCTCTTGATTTGCCTCCTAAATAACCTTTTCATCTATTTCTCTCCATTCCCAATCACCCCCTGTTATCAGGCCCTGTTACCTCCTCCCTACATGGCTCTTAAATATCTCCCTGCTCCCAATCTCTCTCCCTTCCCAATCACTCTCCACACTGCACTCACGTGTCTTTCTAACACACATCTCATCATGGCATCCCTATGCTTAAACTTTCCAATAGCTGTCGACTGTCCGACAGTAAATTCCAGACTTGAGATGACTGATGTTCAAAGCCTTTGTCATAGTTATCCAGTGCTGCTATAACAGAAATACCACAAGTGGATGGTTTTAACAAACAAATTTATTCTCTCACAGTCTAGAGGCTAGAAGTCGGAATTCAGGGTGCCAGCTCCAGGGGAAGGCTTTCTCTCTCTGTTGATTCTGGGGGAAACTCCTTGTCATCAATTTCCCCTGGTCTAGGAGCTTCTTAGCACAGGGTCCCTGGATCCCAAGGATGTGCTCTGCTCCTGGCTCTTCTTTCTTGGTGGTAAGAGGTCCCTCTCCTCTCTCCTCTCATCTTTTATATCTCAGAAGAGATTGACTCAGGATACAACCTAATCCTGTAGGTTGTGCCCTGCCTCTCTAACAACCGCCTCTAAATCCTGCCTCATTAACATCATAGAAGTTAGGATTTACAACACACAGGAAAATTACATCAGATCACAAAATGGAGGACAACCACACAATACTGGGAATTATGGCCTAGCCAATTTGACACATGTTTTTATGGGGACACAACTCAATCCATAACAGCCTGGCATGAGCTGATCCCTCCTTAGTTACCTGGCCTCATCTCTGACCACTGCCTCTGGTTACTCAATTCCCTACTGAGCCGCTTGGGTTCCCTGAACATCCAGCCCTCTCAACACGCAGTGCTGTCTGCTGGGGTCATTCTCCCTGGCCAGCTCCTACTCAGCCTTCAGGACTCAGCATGAATGGCACCATTCCTGGAGGCTCCCTCATCCCATGCCCCCACAGCATCCTATACCATCCCTGATAACACTAACTACACACTGCAAATTGACTTGCCCAAATACTCCACTAGAGAGCAAAATCCATGAGGAACCATATCTACCTTGTCTTTTTCCCTTTCATTTTTTCCCCACTATACTGATAGCTGTTTTTTAGTCAAAAGCATGCCCGTTACAAAAAAATAAAAAGGAAACAACAGTCACCACTTGATAATTTTCGTATTATTTACTATTGTATCGCCCAGTGACACAGTGTCTGGCACATACAGCAGCTCAATAAACATATACTACATGAATCAAGGAGTCCTTGGGTAGTGTAAACGGTCAACAACCCAGAGGCACCACCAAAGAAAGGCCTAGCAGTTGACTTCCAAAAGATCAACCATTGAAAACCCAGTGGAGTGCAGTTCTCCTCTGACACACATGGGGTCACCCCAAGTCAGAATCGGCTGGATGACAACTCGTTGTTTTTTTTTAAATAAACAAATCAATAAGCAAGCAACCAGCATATATTTTACCACAATGACATTTACACAGTCCTGAGCCATACAATAACAGGGTAGAAATATATAAGAAAACAATTTTCTCAGATGATTGTTTCTTCCACCAGGAAAAAGAACACTGCAAGGTATAATACTTATATCACTAAAGGAAAAGATAAATGCGTCTGATGAATATATGTATAAGGCAAATCCATATAAATCTCAGTAAAAAAAAAATTACCTTTTAAGTTCCTGCTCCAGTTTTTCAATTTGCTTTTTGCTTGAGTTCAGCTGTCCCTCCTGGAAATTCACCTGGGACTCTTTGACCTGAAGCTCGTGAGAGATCTTCTGCCTCGTTTTCTCCAGATTCTCACACGTTTCCACCAAGCTCTGGTTCTCCCTCTTCAGGTTAGCGCCCTCCAGTTTTTCATTTTCAACCTAACAGGGGTCATTCGGAGGGAAACGGCGTCCCTTAGTTCATGAATTTACCAGATATTATTCACGAACATGAGTGTAACGTTGACTGCTAGCTGTCTCAGATACGGCTGTGATGATGCCAGGGCTAGATGCAGACAGACAGACGGCCGCGGGGAGAAAAGCTCCGCAAAGTCAAGTGGGGCACTGTCCTCAGTCTGCATACAACCTTCGTCGGCAAGAGAGACTGTACTGCCCTTTCAAGAAAACGTCACTGAGGGGAAGGAGAAGTGGGAAGTTATTGCTTAGTGGGTACTGAGTTTCTGTTTGCGGCGAGGAAAAAGCTTTGGAAATAAACAGGAGTGATGTTTGTACAACATGGTGTATGTAACTAATGCCATTGAACCGTACACTTAAAAATGGTTAAAATGGTCAATTTTATGTTATACATATTTTACCACAACTTCTAGTTTCTGGTCCAGCATATAGTTTACCACAATGAATTTTCTAATTTTAAAAAATCAAACATAAAAAACTATATACCTCCCACAAAAAAGCTATAAATCTCCCTTAACAATTCATTTCCAAGTTCAGCTGCTAAAGCCGGTTATCCTGAGACCAGAAAATTCTCCCACGAGCAAATCATTCAGAAGCAGTGATTCTGTCACTTCTCTGCTGGCTAATGCTGCAGCAGTCCTGAAGAGAAGGTTTGGAAATTCCAAGGTGAAAAGCGCGCTCTCAAAAAAGGGAAATGCAAAATGCTCTTAATTCTGTCCCCAGACTCACAGCAAAAGCAATCCCCAATTCACAGTCCGAAATGGAAGCTAAAGTGGATCTCAGTAACCCTAAATATTAGCAAGTAAGCTGCAATGAGGATAGAGAATGGGGAAAATTAGTGGCAATTCAATTTTAAGTGACATCTGTCCCCCCCAAAAAATAAAAGGGGAATTACCACTTACAGAGAGCAAAAGTGTTTCTCTCTAGCTTTAAAAGACCAAAATAAAATGAGCAATCCAGACAAGGAGCGAACTGTTGAAGTACCAGTTTCGGCGATGTTACCTTCTGTTTTTGCTTCTGCAGTGCGGCCTCCAGAGTGTCAAGCTGAAACTGCCTTTGCTGCCTCTCTTTCTTCAGTTTGTCCAGCTGCCCTTCAAGCTCTTGAATTTTCTGAAGAGCCCTTGTAGGCAGGCCTTCTTTCCATTCTTCTACAGCCCAGCTCATTTTGTTCTTTGTCCTTTATTGTTCAAACATTTATAAACTGAAAAGAAAAACCCAGCCTGTTGGTCTTACTACAGTCAGAGAAAACGTAGTCTCAGAGGCTAACCAGTCTACCTAACCACCTCTAGAGAATCCAGTCTCAAAACCTGACATTTAAAAAGATAACCAAGTATAATAATCGCCCTTCTCCATCACCTGAAACCAATAACCTTGATCATGAAGCACAGGATACGCTTGGTGGGGCTCCCTTGCGTCCCAGTTCTTTCTTCTCAGTTTTAACTTGTTACACGGTTATGTGACTTCTACACTCAGCTGATACGCAAATCATGAACACTTTGCTATAAGGTTTTCAGGTGAGTGAGGTCCAAAAATAAATAACATGCATAACAAGTTATTTTGCAAATGTTCTTCGCCTTCTTCACATTGTTAATTTCCCACTCATGCTTAGTCCCTCAGTTCTAGTCACCTTCCTCTGGGAAAACTTCCCTGAAATCCTACCTGTTCACAGCCAGAAGCTCTCATGGCGCAGGTACCCTTTTCTCCTCCATGGTTACAATTTGTCAAATTAATGCACGAAGGAATAAATGAACAGAGCGAATGCCACATTACCACCAGAATCATCGAAAAGGCAGTAAAGTCAGGCTCCAGGCAGACCCTGACCAAGGAAACAGGTGTGGAGCCTTAATGATTCAAATCCCAGCTCAGCTACTCACAAGATGTGTGACCTTGGGCAAGTTATTTAACTGCTCTGCGCTGTTTCCTCATTTGTAAAATGAGGATAATAACAATTGCGAAGGGAGCCCTGATGGCGCAGCGGTTCAGAGCTCAGGCTGTTAACCAAAAGGTCAGCAGTTCAAATCCACCAGCCACTCCTTGGAAACCCTGTGGGGCAGTTCTACTCTGTCCTATAGGGTTGCTATGAGTTCGAATAGACTCAATGGCAATCGGTGTGGTATAATGATGGTGACTTCCTAGGGTTACTGGACGGATGAAGTAAGTGAAACATTATTAAACCCTCAGAACAGGGTCACCGGGTAAGCCCTCTATACACACTAGCTATTAGCCCTGAAAACATTCTTTATTAGTATCTTTCAGTCTGGAGTACAGAGTGAAGTGCCCTCTTTCTCAGCCACATCTTAGGAAATTTAAATCACCTGGGAGGAGTATGGCCTTAATGTTTACCGACCTTTAGCCCTTAACTCAAAGGAAAATCAATTTCCAGTTATTCTGGCAACAGAATATCCTGGTGAGGATTCATTTTGTTTGTTTGTTTATTTGTTTTACTAAATCAAGTCCTAGATTAAAAAGAGGAATTTAGAAAGATGACAGATGTGGGGGAAACAGAAGAAGACTAGCAGGTTGAATGCTTTTCTATTTCGAAGTCTAAGATACAGCTATAAAAGAAGTGGTTAAGGCAATCACCAGACCCAAAGCAATTGTGATCAGAGCCACTGATACGTCAAGCATCAGCCATCAACCTTCTGCATCAGGCCACTGAGGGCAAAAGGAAAAAAGCAAAGTGTGAACCCGAACGTAAGATGCAAGGGACAAGGGGTGAGGTAAAGATGTAAGGAAGAGCGGGGGGAGAAAGCCGTATGTGTTAGCATCCCTGGGAGAAGGATTTGCAGGCCAAAGTCCTCTAGAAAACGCTCTACATCTGTATCTCGAATACGTGGAGGGCACTCTTCACACCCAAATCACCCAATCTCTCTAAGCCCCAAGAGTGGCTCCGAAAGCTCCTATGGACCCACAGCCGCCTGCAAGGCAGTGCGTTTCAGGCTTTCTTCTGCCAGAATCCCCCTCTCCACCTAGAAACCCGAGTCCGCGCCTGCTGGGCCTCAGAGGGATCGTCTGGCTCAAGGAACGGACTGATGGCATTTATTTCTGGGTGCTTAGCACGTAGTAGGAGCCGTGATGGCTCAGTGATTAAAGTGCTCGGCTGCGCCAAAAAAACAAAGGTCGGCGGTTGAACCTCACCGATAGCTCCAGGGGAGAAAGATGTGGCAGTCAGCTTCCATGAAGATTTACAGCCTTGGAAACCCTATGTGGCAGTTCTGCTCTGTCCTAGAGGGTCGCTATGAGTTGGGTGGGTTTAGCACACAGCAGAGCCTGACACACAGGCGAGTCCAAATAAACGTGGAAAGGGGGGAAAGAGAAGAGAAAAATGCTTAAAATGCATTAAAAACGCGCTCACCACCCCGCCATCCAGATCAAAACCCAAACTTGCATCCCCTCAATACAACAAAGGGCCGGGTCCGGATTTCAAAAAGGGGCTGCTGGACTTGAAAGGCTGCTTGGAAGCAGCTGAAGCGCGAGTAGGTGAGCGAGCAGGGTCTCCGGACGAAGTGTCCGCTTTACCTGGAGCAACGGGCCGACGCCCCGGAGCCCCGCCGGCCGACTGCACAACACAAGGTCGGCCGCAAGCCGGCGCTCCCCACACGGGGCCGAAGCGGTCCAGGCGGACGCCCACCCTGCCCCGGAGCAGAAACCACACCTGTCCGAGAGTCCGGGCCGGCGCGGCGCCCGTGGCTGGTGCCCAGCTCCCAGCTCCGGATTCAAACTGCCCGCCACCGCCACCCCCTCTCCATTCGCCCGCTCCCGGCCCGACCACACCCACCTCAGAGCCTATTGGTCGTTTGTAACCGCCCGTCGGGCCAATCTGCTTTCCCGGATTCGGAATGCCGCTTCTGATTGGTCCTTTTGAATGGATTTTAAAATCAAGTCGTCACCACCTAAGACGCCTGCGCCAGCTCTAAAGTGCTGGTTTCTTTTTATTTTGTTGCAGGAAGGCGGAGACCACGTGCTTTTGCTGAGGCTGGACGCTGCTTTGAACTGTTGTTCGGCCTGGTGGCGTGGTGGTTAAAGCGCTTGGCTGAAAGGCGGGCAGTTGGAACCCACCAGCCGCTCTGGTGAGAAACATGTGTCAGTGAGCTTCCCTAAAAGATTTCAGCCTTGGAAACCCCATGGGGCGGTTCTACTCTGTCCTATGGGGTCGCTGTGAGTCGGAATGGCTCTACTGGTACGTGTTTGGGTTTATTTTGGCAAAAGCCAGGGAATGGGCCAGCTGATTAAGAGGGTGTGGCCCGTCGTTTACAGCCAGCGGGGCGTGTGCCTTCTGGTGAAAATTTACACACTGCACCTACCTATCTGTTTATTAAGTTTTTAACTTAGGACATAGATACCAGGTACTGTGTTTGCTATGCATTCTTTATCCAGTGTGTTCTTAACAATTCTTTGCGTTGACTTGAGACACACAGAAGCTAAGTAACTTGAATTTGAGTCTGGACATTCAGGGTCTAGCTGCTGCCCTCTCGTGATCCTATTTTGGAAAGGAGATTGGGAATGCTTGCTAGCAGAAATTCGTGCGTTGCAGCCAGAAGGTTCTTCAAAACTGGATATAAGCCCTCCTTTTTAGGAAGCCCGCTCGTGTTTTGTGTATTTTATGTACTTTTTTTATTTCCCTATTTAACTGTGGAGCCTTGATGGTGCAGTGGTTAGGTGCTCGGCTTCTAACCAAAAGGTGGGCAGTTTCAATTCACCAGCCGCTCCTTGGAAACCCTATGGGGCGGTTCTAGTCTGTGCTGCAGGGCGCTGTGTGTTGAAATGGACTTGATGGCAGCCGGTATTTCTTAGATTCTCCCTAGAACTTGGTTTATGCCTCACTTGCAGGACTTAATGCCATGTGTTGTATTATATTTACGTGTATGGCTGACTCCCCCATCAGACTCAAAAACTCCTGTAGAGTAAATCTGTTTTAATTCATCTTTGCATTACTAGGATCTCCCTAATAACTTTGCACATTAAAAAAAAAAAAAAAAAACCTGTTGCCGTGGAGTCAATTGCAAATCATAGCGACCCTATAGGGCAGAGAAGAACTGCCCCATAGGGTTTCCAAGGAGCGGCTGGTAGATTCGAACTGCCAACCTTTTGGTTAGCAGCCAAGCTCTTAACCACCATGGGACCAGGGCTCTGCTTTTAAAATTACTATGTGCAAAGTGGAAACCCTGGTGGCAAAGTGGTTAAGAGTTCGGCTGTTAACCAAAAGGCTGGCAGTTCAAATGCACTAGCCCTGCCTTGGAGATCCTATGTGCCAGTTCTACTCTGCCCTATAGGGTCGCTATGAGCCGTTGACTATGAGTCAGAATCCACTGGATGGCAACGGCTGTTGGTTTAATTTTAAAAGGAGATCATCTCGGAAGGTAAAATTGCCATCTGGGGGAGGGCTTGTTCTTGTCCTGTGTCTGTAAGAGGTTGGGAACTTCGGGTCAGACACTGCTAAGACCGTGCTAGTATCCGGTAGATGTGGAATTTGAACCAAATTCTGTCTGACTCCAGCGCCAGTTACAATTCCATTGCTTCACCAGAGCAAGGACTCAACCGTTAATCAGCTCTAAGAAAAATAGAAGTGCACAGATAATAGAGGCCTTTCAGGATTGAATGAGAAATGTACATTTACAAGTCATTCATTCATTTACTGAGTCCCCTGTAGAGCCAAGCTCTGCTCCATTCTTCTATGATAACAGGAAACCGACAGCCCACTGCTGCTGAGTCAATTCCGACTCACAGCGTCCCTCACGGACAGAGTAGAACTGCCATAGGGTTTCCCAGGCCGGAATCTAAGCAGACGGCCACATCTCTGTCTCTCGAAGTGGCGGGTGGGTTCTGACCTTTCGGTTAGAGATGAGTGCTTTAACCTCTGTGCCACGAGGGCTCCCTATAATAACAGTGAATACCCGCCATTCATTTTTAAATTGTTTTAATGTGGTAAAAATACATAACAAAATATTTGCTCTTTCAACATTTTTTACGTCAGTTCAGTTGACACTGACTGCATTCACCTTGTTGTGCAAACATCACCGTTTCCCTGTTGTTCTGTCATCTTTAACAGAAACTCAGTGCCCCTTGAGCAATGGCTCGGCCTTTCCCCTCCCTGCTGCTCCGGTGACCACTAATACACTTTGGTCCCCATGTATTTACCAATTCTAGATAGTTCCTGTAAGGGGGGCTATACGGAATTTATCCTTTTGTAACTGATTTATTTCAC